GCAGGCACATCACTTAGGTGCGAGAATATGGCTCGGGTGAAAAACTTCCCCCCCCCCTTGATGTAGATGTGAAGATTGATGTAGAATGAAGATTAGCCGAAGAAGAACTTTTAGCCTCCTTCTTTGAGCTTGGATATTTTAGGTAGTCGGCAATGAGATTTGACAACCCCTGCATGAACCACTTGTGCACCGCGATCAATGCATCCGCAGTAGAGCAAATCGAATTATGTATGAGGTGGATCGTAGGAACAATGTTTTAGCGACAACTAGATTATCCCTTCCAAATTGTCTAGCAAAGTCTGATTTCCAGACCTGCCAAAACATCCGACGTTCTCCGGACTTGGCATCTACCCCTGTGATAGAGGTGTGGGAGAACTCTTTAAGTTCCGCTATGAAAGAAGCTGGATCGACAAATGACATCGTTGCTCATTTTTATAAGAAAGGGCTGGCCACCCGAAGAAAAAGTATTGAACGGTTAGAAAAGGTGTTTGCACAACTAAATTCTAAACAAACTTCTGTCTTTAGAGCAAAGGCCTCCCACGCCACTCCCGCCCTTACGTGGAATTCCATACCAGAAAGATACGCACTCAACAATAGTTCCAGCTTCCTCCAGGAGTCGACGCAGACGTATCAGATCTATTTTTCATGCGAGACACTGAAAGTGAGTAATTATGACTGCACAAATATCTTCGTCTTGCTTTCATTCTATGCATGTTCTAAACCCAACCAAAGTATCTTGGAACCACGAAACAAGAAAATATTAAGCAGTATATGTGAAAATGAAAAGGGAATCCAAATTAGTAACTCTGAATGAAGAAAATGGAATTACAGATGGCGTGTCAGCAAGGGTTGAAAGCCTTAATTATGGATGGATTACATAAGGTTTTACCAACGGAGTTGGGTGATCACGCCCAACTTTACACGATACACGGAAGCCTATCAAATGAGCATCAAGTACGAAAGTTGAGATAAGTCTACAAATATTGATAGATTCTTTTTCAGGTTCCACTGTTCCACATTTTGATGCGCAATATGGCGCAGCATACCTATGAAAAATTTTTCGAAAGAGTATGGCACGAATTAAATTCTATTGAGCC